AAAATAAATATATATATATATATATATATATATATATATATATATATATATATATATATATATATATATATATATTAAGATAAGATGAAAATGTTCTAGAGTGTGTATTATATAATTTCCATACCCAGCGCAAGCAGAAAGATGTTGTCTGCCGCGGCTGGGTCTCGAACTGTGTGTGTGTGTGTGTGTGTGTGTGTGTGCGTGTGTGTGTGAAAGAAATAACAAACGTACCTTATTTGACCTGTTGTAGAAAAAGCTTCTTAGAAAAAAATGGACAAGCGTTTTCCAAAATTTTCAACATTTATTGCAAATTCTTTCTCAGATCGTAAGAATTGTTGAAATTTGAGCTAAACAGAATATGTAACCCTATCGCGTAGAACGTGTTTTTTAATATTCCATGCGGTTTTATACCTCGCGAATTAATTACCATTAATACCGCTTTTTCTATGTAGTTACCACAGTACCACTTTATATATGCATGTATTCGTTTATTCCGTGCAAATGACAGAAAGTACAATACGAAGTTTGCAATCAATTTAAGGCCATGAGATTATATTTTCCCTTTAGCCAACATTTGTCCGTGCAATTGGAACTATTTCGATGGTCGTTGCTATTATATCAGTCCGGGAACTGCCAATAATTGGCTTGCTGCACGAGCTGATTGTCGCGCACGTGGTGGAGACATGGCTGTGCCATCAAATGCAACAAATAATCAGCACATTTACCAGGCCATGAAATCGAATAACGTCGGCACAGCATATATTGGTTTCTATAGGGTGTCCAATGGTCTAGAAACTAACAAGTTTTACACCGTACGCGGCGTCGAGGCATCCTACACAAATTGGTTGGCAGGGGAGCCAAATAATTCTGGCGCAAAGGAAGATTGTGTCGAGCTGGTGTACAAATCACCTTTTTGGAAAAATGGCGGTGATGTTGGTGGACAATGGAATGATCTTCCATGTAAAGGCTACCCTCGTCATTACGTCTGTGAAACGAGCTTCCAAAGATACGACAACTAGTTATACGCCATTTCAAACTTAATTTTTCATGGAACTAGAACTAATTCTATTCCGACGGTATAGCATAATTAACTCATAATTATGTTAATCTATCTGATTTATAATATACATGTTCTAGCAGCAAATCAACCTGTAGACAAGAGTACCCAAGTTCTCTATCGCATGTAATGCTTTTATATACAGCACAATTAATAAAAGCCTTAGAATAATATTTTCTTTTCAACATCACTAAATCTATCAATGTAGAACATCCATGCATACGAGAAAATCTTCAGCTCTGCCGATTTGCATATCTCCCCTTATTCTCGCACTGCCAAAATACAGCATCTGGAAGTATTTTCGTTTTGCAAGAAATTCCACCATTGTCCAAATATATCATTAAGATTCTGAGAAATTTATTCAAAATATTGTCGATCGTTTGCATCCAAAAAAACCAGCACTATGTGCTGAAATCCAGAGAAAAATCATGCGACTGATGCAAGCGCAAAACAAAATAAAGTTTGACTCCCCCACCTTTAGAAAAACTTCCTGAAGCCAACTTTCTCGACATCCCCCATATAATTATATTGCATTGCCCCAGTGCAATGCGACTTTGACGTTTCATATCTTCGATCGGTTCATTAAATGCTATGAGGACAAATATACCACTGTTCGACTGATTCAGTGTAACTATAATATCTCCTCATTCTTAGCCATAGTTTTAGTCAATGTTAACATTACAGCGATTTATGAGTTTTGACAGTCAAGCGAGTTAGTATATATGTGATCAAATTACACAATATTACTAACATATTATAAAATGAGATTATAAACATGTTTTTCGCCGAATATTACTTCGGCCCTTTGAACTTCAGGAGGTGGAGAAATTATTTTATCTAAAAACGTTTTAATGCGTCTATCCATGAATTTTCCAAAATTAAGGGTCGCCGAATGCGAATATTTTGACAGTATTGTCTATCTTTGGAAAGTTTCGCTTTGATAATTTGCGCAGCGAATTTTCAACAGTTACACAGTAAATTCTGAGGGATAAAGATTAGCCCAACTATTGGGGTGGAACTACTTTTCCACAGAATCCACCGTTTTGTGGTGTAAAAATTGAATTAATTAAAAAAGGAGTAAAACTTAACCCGTGGAATACGAGTAAAAATGTACCTTGGTGTAGAGTGTTGATTTTTTACTCTATTTCAAAAGGTAACATACTTATCATCCGAAACGGGTGTAAAAATGTTACTCCGTTTCTGTGAGTAAGATATTTACCAAAATATACTTGACCTTCACCACCGAGCAAATTTAACACTGACTCTTTCAGTCCAAATTTAAACTATATATCCATGCAGACAAGACAATTTGAACCATCAATTATGTGTAAGGTAGTCAACCCCTCTTAAAACTTTTTTTAATTTTTAAGCAGATTTATGCAAAAATATAATTTTCTGAATGGGTCAGGTGGAAAAAAAATATGACCAATGCAAAATTGTTTTAACAAAATCGTTAATTACTCTAATTATCCAATATGGCG